TGTGACGAGACCAAAATAACGGCTGCGAAGGAGACTACAGTAGGCGAAGTACCAATGCATTTAATTTTTGCTCAGATGAATAGTGAGGTTTATCTTTTCTTTCTCTTAGGGTTAAATAATTCGTTCGCTGAAAAATATGCGCAGCATGCTCACATTCTTATTTTTGCTTGGAGAGTTGGTTTATCACTTTAAATTCTTTTTTTCTATATAAGCGACATGAAAAAGCCAGTTCAGGTTTGAAAAGAAAATTTTTAGATATGCTTCATTGGATATTTTTGTCGTAAATCTTTAATATAATAATAAGTGCCGTTACAAGCCGTGGATGCGTGAGATACTCAGGAGTTTGTAACCAAATTTTTTATCTATTAGTTAGCTTGTTTTTTATGTAACCAGTGCTTCCTTCCAGCATTAAAATGAAGGGTACGACAGATTAAGTTTTACACCAAATCAAAAATGGCACAAATTACTTGAAGGTGCCATTCGAATCCTGACAGGATCCGGCTGACGGTGATCACGAAAAAAAAATGTTTTGTCCACGGACCGGAAAACTCTGCTTGCTGGCTAGACTTTTTCATTCCTCCAAGAGATGATTTCTCCATCCATATTATGATAGAAATAATACGCACAGGGAACAAAGAAGAAAATATTATACAAAACAAAGTAGGAATGAAAAAGGGCACGGTATAGTTAAGATGATTGGATGTAAAGATTACGAATGTAATCGCTTACCATAAACAAAACAAGAAAATCATTCACCTACTTATTTCTAGCATCAGAGAGCAAAAAGTTCTATAAACCATCCAAGGTTAAGGAGCTTCGCCCCATTACAAGTTCGCCCCCACCACCTCTGGAAGCTCGCCCCATGAAGTGTTGCGCGTTCTCCCCCCACCTTCACCAGTTTATCCTCAAATCGTTCAACTCGTTTCTAAAATACGAAAGAATCTCAATTAGGCCTTCCATTGATGGAAGTGCTCTAAAGACCAGGTTAAAAGGCCATTTAAGTCCACACAAACTGTCAAAGTATTTTATTCGAAGTGCGTGTCTTGATTTCCCTGATCTCAACATAACTCTGCGCGCTTGGCTTTGATAAGGGAAATAGGGCGAGACAAGTATGCAAAGTTTCAAGAGTAACTAAGGCCCCTGAAAGCCCACTAGGTCGGTACATTTTATTTCCAATTACACCACCTACTTTACTGGATCGGGTGAAGTTGCTTAAAGTGACGACCAAATGGGTGTTTGGGTTAAGAAACCTCGAGCTTGTTTAAAATTTTCCTATTAGCCGTTCTTGCTTGTGCCAGCTCTCATTATGGTTCGAGATGAACGAAATGTGTTGAGCAATGATCCGCTGACGGCCCCTGACGGCCCCTGACGGCCCCTGGCGGCCCCTGACCTTACTGGACAGATGGTCCGGGTGAATAATTATTCTCCACACCACATGATCCAAAAAGCAGCAGAATTTTATGATCTTAGTTGATTCTAAGATTCTTATTCTACTCCTTGCAGCCATATCCTCTTTCTCTATTTCCTCTCAGGAAATTTTCCTAAAAACAGGTTAATGATTGTTGGGTAAGGCTTTCGACAGGAAGGTACTTGATGTTCAGTTGCCCACTTCCCTTGAGAGAAACCTTTGTGAAATTTCAAATGAGCTGTTGTCCGTGGCTTTCCAAATTTTTCTTATTTCCTTCCCTTGAAGCCTCGTCAGTTTGTTATCTTTAATAGGAATTGACGAAGAGCTCAGTTAGTAAAATTATCGCTTAACGGTTTGCGTACCGTATTTCTTAAAAAAGGAGTTCAAATTATGTTTTTTTGTGGGGTTTGGTGTACTAATTTGCCTACCTAGGTGAATGGTAATTGGTTAGAGGTGACCTTGTCTGAAAGGCTAATCAAATGACAGTATTTTCACCTGCAGTCCTACAAAGTGTGAAATGTCCTACTGCATGGCGCCTGCGGGTCTGCTTGAACTAACAAGGTAAGACACCAAGGTGACAAGTCTTTAGAAGAATTCATTACGGATTCCTATTTTCTCTGTGTTCCCAATTCTTTCTCTCGTTTCATCATCAGTAGGCCATATAGAAACCAGAAACACAGTAGTGATTACTTCTAAACCCAAAGTTGCGTCTCTCGTTCGAACCAACGGCCACTCTCATTCTAACAACCAGCGTGAAATACGACGACGTCGGACATAGATGTCTAGAAATACCTGAGTGAGACGCTTAAATCATTTTGACATTAGTTATTATGCGTGATGCATCGCAGGAATAGAAATTTCATGTATTTGATGGCGCACTGTTGGCTTGGTATCACGTTTAGACGGAAAGTAATTTACATGCACTTAGAGTAGATAACATTACAAGTCCCGCAAAACGACAGAGATTTATAACCTAATCCGTAAATCCACCAATGGCGTGCGGTTTCCCTAAGGATTTCAAGCCAAACAACCTCACTCCAAAAAGGTGCCGCGTAATTAATCAAACTTGACAGCTTTCATTAATTATCGCCAACGATAGGCGACAATCTGATTAAATATCTACGCCGAAGACCCGCCATGACAGTAGAATTTCTTGAGGTGCTGCCTTGTTGCGGTAGATTGCTTTGTTAGTTTCATTACTTTTTTCATATCTAATAACAAGAGAGAATCTTCTATTCAAACGCCTTGTGTTGTAGCGATGAGCACTCGCAAATTAAAATGTTGATGTAGTGTGACTGGAATGGTGATTTGGCATCGAATGGATCAACGGAACGCCAAACTCGGGTGACGCACTTAAGTAACGCTCAAAATAAAGTAAGTACACCGATTTTCTATTTCCCAAGTTCTTGAAATTGACGAGTGAATGCACATTGCACTTCTTATCTGTTGAAGACACCTCGAAATTAGGTGTTACTGTGGGGGTCGTCGATTTCCGGTAACACATTTCCTCGTGGTACGTTTTACGGGAAATGAAAACATCATTATAAGGCACTTCATTTATCTATGGATACTTTCCATAAGAAAAAAACATTTTCCAGTATAATTGTCATGCTTTTTTTACCACATGTAAGTTGCCCTCGCCGCCTTCTACCAAACTATTTGGACTGAACAGTTTAATTTTGATTTGATTCTCCACCTTAAATATGGGGAATCTACAAAGGGTGATTTTTGCACAAATGTTAAATGTTTACTCGTTTTTGCTTGTTATCGTTTCTTGAAGGTTCTATTCTTTGTTTAACTCTGGTATTCGAAAATTTACAGTGGTGACTATTAATCAACCGCACTCGGAATTGTGGTTCTGGTCTATAGAGTTATAGAGCACAGTAGTTCTTCAGTGTTAATTACGTTGGAAAGGAGGGTGAAAAAAACCTTTAATACGCAAACTAACAAAGAAATAGTGGGTTCCTCTTTGATTCAAGAGGGCGAGTATTGAACTTCACTTTGAACTGATTATTTTGTAACAAACGTAACCAGTGTCGATTGACTTCGCAATACAAGAGGTCGAGTTCAGCCACAACCCTAGTGTATATGTGTCGCTTGAAAATGAAAATTTTGAAGCCCTTTAGCTGTCCTGAAATGCAAATTATTCATTATTCCACGATGTTTTATGTCTTAAAATGTAGGGGATGTTTCTAACGAGAAGGGTAACCATTAGGGCCCAGATTCAAAGAGGAATTTGAGGAGAAAGCAGGCAATTTAGAAATGACAAACTCAAGTTAATTGGAAACAGAAAGAGTTGTAAATCACTGCAAACTTTTGCCTTTAGTTTATGTGGACATTGTTAAAAAGCCAAAACGAACAATGAGCACAGAACACTCCTTTTCTCTCCTTGATTAACTTAAGTGTCATACTCTCATCCTAGATACGATTCAAATGTAACTTCGAAGAAGTGATTTTGGAAAGCAAGCGAGTCTCCGGGAAAGGAAACGATCTCCCTAAAATAAAGAGGTATTACTGACTCCTGCATTTAAAGCACATAACATGACGATGATTCAGACTTAGACGGTTTGACATATAGATGGCACGTTAAAACTGTCATGAAAAGATTTTAGACTTACTACAGACCAGAACTAGCCACAGTGACCGAGTTTTCACCATTATTGTTGTAGTACATCCGATTAAATTTTTTGGCATGTAGCATTCGCTTTTGTCTAGGAACCATTACTCCACTCTTAAATAGTTCGATACACACTCAATAATATTTCCTTCCTTTAGAGGGCTAGCACTGCTGCTTGAGTCGAAAAACAACAGAGAGAACCAAAAACTCATAAACACTCCTCGCAAGTAACCTTCGCGGATATTTTTCCACTCTGTTTAGAACCCCACCGCTTCAGTTTCTTTAAGTGTGAAGTGCAGATTAGTTCTAAATTGAAAAGAATTACTGCCTATTAGAAGATGCCATTTTCACACCCTCAAATGTTGCCGCAAGGTTCCTAGAGCATTAAAAAGTAGACGCGCTGGCGACTGAGGTGCGAAAGAAGCCAGTTCAACAATACACAGCCGGGATGAAGCAAGAAATCTCTTGTTTTCGTTTTGAAAACACCACTTTTGTCTGACGTACTTGACTGTCAAGCCTGTCGAAATAGCTTTCGGATTTTCACGTTTCTAGTAAAATTGGAGAAGTTTATCATATGTATTAGATGATTAATACGCAGAAGTTTCTGAATTGTTATAAGAAAGTGAGAAGCGAAGGGTTTTTCCTGAATATTCTAAGGTATCAAAACAGGATCAGCAGTGTTCGGTTTTTTCAACATTTAATAACTGAATGTGGATTAAGTCAAATCGTTTGTTGATCCTCGGGCCGTTCCTTGGTTTTGACGCTTACTGTTTGCTAGTTTATCAGAGAATTCGGAGGAACCAAACTGAATGTATGATGGTTATGATACATAAAATCACAGATAAGAACTCCAACAAAACAAATGAGGAGAATGCAGAACGAGCCAGTAGAGTCCAGCATGGCTTCGATACGGATATTAGGGCCACGATTTAAGGTCATCGTCATCTCTAAAGATGAAATGAATGAATGCATGTCTCAAGAAATGTAGAGTTGATTTTTTGATCCATATCTGTTCACATGAATGGGAATAGGAACAACAAGTTTAGGAGCGTGAAGCTTTCTGTTTCCATGAGCTTGAGGTCCACCGAGAGTCCTTACTCTCTTCCATTTCGCTCGTCTGTTCTGAAACCAAATTTTCACTTGAACCTCGCTGAGTTTTAAAGTTCTTGCAATGTGTGATCTCTCTTCCAGTGAAAGGTACTTTTTGGTGTGAAATTCTCGTTCAAGTTCTAACAGTTGTTGGCTTGTAAAAGCCGTTCTTTTCCGTCTGGATTTGGTTCCTCCCTCGGAGTCTGAATTTTGGTCTTCTTGTTCGTCCTCATCACTCCCAGTTGGTGAATTTGGACGAGCTTTGCCACTAAAGCCTAGTAGAGGAAAATGGGCATCAAATAGATAATAAAAGCAGTACATTTAACTTAATCAGTAATTGTAAATTTCCTATCACAGAAGCTTTATTGACCACGCAATAAATGAGGAAAGAACCGGCACATGAACATCATGGGAGGACCAAAACTTCCATAAGGTCTGTAAGAACATAGCTTTTATAATTAGAACAAATGCAGTAAAAATTTCCTTTAGATAAATGTTGAATAACGCTGGATACCTCTCCTAAAAATAAAGTTGTTAAGAGCAATTCCAGCGTGAAGCAGTTTCCAACACATTCCTCTCTGGATATTGAATCCAATTACTACAGCAACATATAGAACAGAACACTCACTTGTTGGCGAGGAGGGGAAATGATCCATTACGTTCTCTCTACGAAAATGTTTGTCCAATTTTTCTTCCTCCATTTGAAATACAGAGACTGTCCTGTCCGAATAGATCCCATCGCCCCGCGGTGTGAGCTCAACCAAATTCTGCATGGCACTCAGTGGTCCGCGGCTTAAAATTCCTTGGCTGTCATAATTTTCTTCCCCTGTTTGCTTCGGAGGATCTCTTCTGGAAATAATCGATTCAATAGAGAAAGAAATCGAATTTTGCATTGTAAGTCGCCCACGTCTTCTTTGTGTTAATACAAGAGCGAACACACATTAGTGACTGGTGGAGTTCGTATTGTTTCTTATCGGATTACGCTCTCTCTGCTAGCAGACGTTACTAATTACAGGGGCTGAGATTTTTTTACGTCAGCCGGACACGTCCCATTGGTTGTTAAGTTGTCAACTGACAGGCGTGAAGAATAAACCGAGCACAAGGGCAAAAATCCTTAATACTTTCAATTCAGTCAAACTAATCAGTGTATAATGAAACTTGATTTTTCTTCATTGTGTTAAAAATTATTAAATACTACAAGATATTTTCATTTCTTAATTGCCCGGGCGGTATTTTTTTTTAAAAGAATTTTGCTGTTTGAACGACACGCTAATTACTCGTAGTGTGAAGACAAACAGATCCTGAGTTTCAGAATAATTCATTCAGATGCTGCGAAGTACACAGCACCCACACAGTTGAGCTTTTCCGCATCTATGACCTGACCTCGCTCTCTGATCACCCTAAATCATCGCTCCTACCATTAAGTGTCGCGTATCAAGACTGAAAAATACTCTTTTTGGTTCTCTATCTTCAAGTTTGAAGCTTCTTTCAACCGGTTTGCCTCAATTTTTTTGCTTGTGATCTACTCGCGGTTGTTACCTAGTAAAAGGTTTACGTAACTGTCGACTTTGACGCCTTAGACTTCTTTCCGTTGACACCTTGTACAAACTTCCGAGGTGGAACAGGCTAAAATAATGATGTATTATTTCATCAGAAGAAGACAGATATGATTTCAATTGCCTCGGTGGTCTTTTTAAGAATAAGTGCAAATCATTAAGAGTCTGTCTTCCCTTTCCTTCCGCAGACAGGTGGCCATTTCTATGTCTTCTATGGTAAACGGATACATAACATCAATAACAATACCAACTTAACATAAGAATGTAACTGGACCGACCGAAGACAGAGCTCGAAATACTGTTGGTTCAGTTTAACAAGTCTCGGACTTGCAAGAGGGCCGAACGCGTGAAGAGGAAGTTATTTGAAACGACTGCTAATCAAGGTGATATCACCATGTTTGTCTGGAATACAGTGCTGTAATCCAAATATATCTTACTCACTTTCAGAAATCCCATAACTACTTTAATATAATAAAGTTAAACGCAAAGGTAAACAAGATGCAATCGAAACCCTTCAAAACCCGAAACCAAAAGCCTTCAAACTGACCAAACCGACCATCCAAGCCCTTCAGTTGTTGCCACTAAAAGTGTGAAAAGTTATTCAGTGAGAGGCGCCTTCGGGTCTATCAGCCTGTACACAAAGGACTAAATCTGATCAGATTAACTGGTTACGTGCTGTTTTTTTTGGTAATTACCACAACTGATGACATTATTCATTAAATTGTCGTGTGTCCTCAACAGACGATGCCGACTTCGTCCTTGTGATAATCTCTTAAGCTGTTCCAGACCAAACAACTATGCATTATGCATTTGCTAGACTATAATGAGTTCTGTTGGTTTGTTCTGTTCAAACATTAATTGTTTGCAATAATGCTAACAATAATATTAATGATCATAGTAGTGATAATAATAAAAATAATAATGATATTGATAATGATGATGACTGTTGCTAAGCCTGGCACCGACGGAGATAACCTTTGCCTAATGATCCGGTCTAAACCGGTCTAAGGGTGAATGATAATCAAACATCCGTATGTTAGTGCAAGATACTATATATAGCATGCGCGAAAAGCTTCATTGCAGGAACAACATAACACAAACGCGGGTATATGAGTAACAAGCGGACCCAATACGCGTGCGCTATAAATATGTCTGCAAATTTGTTAAACTGAGTTAGTGTGCAGCCTAATGCGGGGCGCCTGCTCCAGTAAGTTGCACCCCACACGTGCCTGATGTGATGTGCAGTTAGTTAACGAACAAGCTCTTTTCAAGTATCTCGTGGCTCTCTAGAAGTCTAAGGACTCGACTCTCACAGATTTCGCGAGAGGCCCGTGAGGTATACTTTCAGCAGTGACAGTTAGAGTCTACTCGCAGGTTAATATGTAGATATAACATAATACACTCTCGTGTATGTTGTATTTGTACCATGGCATTTACAAAGAATCCAAATAGCTTCCTGTTGGTAGGAATTTGTGGAAGCAGTGATGGCATCAGTTGAGTTCATTGTTGAGATTTCAATTTTGTATTTTGACTTTTCCGTAATTAGAATTAACCTAGAGGTCGCACTCTTGGAAGGAAAAAATGTGTTCAATTTTTCCTACTGCCTCTTTTCCTTTTCCTTAAGGGGGAGGCGGAGGTAGGTCAGGCAAGTCTATAACTTGACTGAATTTGTTCAGAATTGGGTGCAAATATCATTGATTAATAACCATGGTTGACTCCTTTTCGTTATTGACGGATTTGCGCATGTGCAAAAAAAAATAATGTTTTCCCCTTATTCTTGATTTCAGTGTAATATTTGGTACGTTCTGATCACTTTTTCTCTTTGAAAATAATTTTTAGCTTTATCTCGGAAACAGACGATCTAAAAATTTTCTCTGCGCGTTTTGGGCACTTTTCCCGATTCTCAAAGAATGTGGATTGATGCGAAGGCATGTTTGATTCACATGTAGAATATCTTGGATGTAGATGCTTTCCCGTAGAGGGACTATCACAAAGGGCACCAGCCATTCAGAATGGCATCAAGGTGCAGCTAGAGCCTCGAAACGATATAACATCTTCTACTACCGGGACATCCAGTCTGTTCAAAATTCTGTTCCTCACTTTGTCTTCAAAACTAAGAAATTTGATCGCATTACTCCTACCTGGCTTCCCGTCAGGTGTCGTATTGTTTCTTAAGACTTTTCTTTTAGTTTACAAATCTTTTAACGTCATGATCCCATTTTATTTGTGAGAACTTTTAGCTTATCGCAAAAGTTCGTTTTCACTTCGATCTACTTGCAACAATGACCTCAATGAGCCATCTTCGAGAACCCGCACTTATTGTAATCGGTCCTTCGCTGTGTCTGCCTCAAGAATGTGGAACTTATTGCCGCCTTTTATTCGTAGAAGTTCATCAATTCCATTTTTAAAAGAAACTTTGAAAACTGGCCTTTTTGAAAAGTTTCTCAAAGAACATTTTAAAACTTTTTTTTCTGCCATTATTGTAAAGTGCCACGGACAATTTTTTATGAGTTGTGCGCTCTAGAAGCACTCCATTATTATTATTAATATCATTATTATCCCAAGTTCGTCAGCTGTCAGAGACTTCAAAATTCGCCTATTCTCAACGGGATTTTTTTCGTCGGTGTATCCTTTATTTTAACTTGATGTTTAGCAAGAAGGGTGGTACTTCGTTTCTGTTTTCAGCGGATAACAATTTCTGAAAAATCTTTAATGCAGTACGTGGTACGCTGTGCAATTTGGTACAGTCGTCAATTCTGCACGCACGCAGCGTACCGCCATACCCAAAAGAAGCTGGTGAAACATCAAGTGGAGAAACTCTCGTCAACGTCAACTTAAGTCCATCTGTCAGTCCGCAAGTTCATGAGTTGTTGCACTACGTATTTCCATACTTATGGTAGCCCATGAAATAAGATAAGATCTCTTACCTTATTAATTCTGTGAGCACAAGCCGCACACACTATGTGTTCTTGGTTAATAATTGTTGACACGAAACGAACAAAATCAATAAAGCTACTATGAATAAATCTCTGAAAATGAATTAATGAGTTGTCAGTAATCGGATCCCTGTGTTTCCGCAAACAGCTCTGGGGTCGCCACAGGGCAAACATTTCAAGTTGCTAGAAAGAAATGTATGGCGAAAGGTTGTTTGGACGTCCAAAAAAATCGATTTTGGAGAGAGATCAACGTTAGCGTTTGATCGAATGGATTTCGTTTCGAACTGATTCCACTGTTCAATTGAAAACAAAGTCATATAAACTAATCGTACATACTTGAACTAAACTTGGAAAACGAACGTGCAATTTTGTAACGTTATGATATTGTGAGGTATACATGTGATTAAAGGGAAAATACTGCTTTTCGCATGTAAGCTGAGAAAACTGTGTGCACCCTTAAGTTGTTTTCTAATTTGGTCAATCAAATCACGTGACTTACCATTTCACTAAATGACGTCACGGTATCCATATCGATATCGAAGAAAATCGATAGTATCGTACTTGGTATCGTATCGATTCGGAAAAACTGAGCGTCTGATTGGCTGAAATGTGTGGTGGCCGTTTACATTATCAATATTGTCATCATTCTATTGTCTCGGTAACCAATATGACCGCCGTGAAGTCATGCAACGATTAACTCGATCGATCGAAGAAGCTTGCGGAATGTAAAAATCTTGCCACAATGCTACTGGTACTTTCAATTAATGAAAGTTAATTAAGATGACTTTCTTAAGCGAAGGGAGGCGAGATAAAATTCTGAAACGAGATCTTCAGACCGTTTAGACTTTCGAAATTACTAGAAAACTATAGCTAGGGGAACGTAATTGATGTTTATTAAAGGTGAGCTTTAAGAAAAGGAAAATTTTAATAATCAGGTTCCATTTCCGCCGTTTTCTTGAATCCGGGGAGGAACGCAAGCCTCGTTAATGGTCAATATTCAGTGCCAGACAATCGTAGAAATAGAGTAAACCAGTTATCCTACGCACCTTATTGTACTACGATCTCGCATTAAGGGTCCAACTTGATGGTCAAATCGAGTCCTAAAACCACTTACAAAAGGACCCTTCACTTATTAATAGGGGACCACTCATTATTTACCACCTTTTGGGGGGGGAGGGGAGGGTTCAAAGGATATTGGGGAATCACGAGAGGCGAGATTAGTCGCCACTGACAGAATATAAAGTGGGGGAGGGGAGGGTATGGAAATTTGATTGTTTCTTTTTACCCCATTCACAACCTCTCTTCAACTCTATTCCCTCTTTTAGGAGCCTGGCTACGCTGGTTACTGTTTTCTGATGGAGTTAGTTATTCCTATTGCATTGACTGAATGTAGAAAACATG